AATAAATATTTCCCTTAGGTCATTGCCTTTGGAGTTTTTCTTGTTTCATTGCTTCTCTGGAATATTATGTTGTGCTTGTTTTAAATTACGAAGTATACGCATGTGTAGTGTGCCTCGATAAAACACACAAGAACTGCTGTTCGGAGCGGCTCTCATTGTCAATTGGTAGATGATGTTTCTGATGAGACTGCTGCACCCAGGTTCCCCAAAAGCACTGTCTAATGTCACCACCTCAGCCCTGTCTCTGTTTTAAGTCAGGGACTCTCCCTCCCCTTGCCCAAATTAACCACTGTTTTTACTGTGCAGCATGGAGTCCTAGCTACTGCAGCACTCCCCACTTTTTGCACAGATGTTGAGTTTCATGGCAGCAAAGTTTGCCCTGAGAACGGTTTTCCTTGGTACTGTATACCAAATTCACAATAGTGCAACAAGTTGAATAAAGTTTTACCCATGCAATACTAAAGATCATCAATGAAAGTCCCCACCACGAAGCAAGTGCCACTGGAGATCATTTGTCGAACAGCATGACTAATGCAATTTATGGTCCCATCTCATCTCATCAGCCTCCCGTTTATCTAATGTGTCATCCTTTAAGTCTTATGTTTCACCGCAGCTGTCCGTGTTTTAACATTTAAAGGCTTTGCGTCTGCTGTGCCTGATACTGTAGTAGTGAAAGGTCACTAAGCTGACTTTACTATTAGGTGGGTTTCATTTTTATATACCAAACGTGATGAGGAAGAGTCACAGTGAAGACTGTTGACAAGATCAGTTTTAAATGTTGCACGTATTAAATGACTGCTTTTAGTTGGTCGTCTCAGCACAAGCAGGACTGGAAATCTCATTAGAATATATAAAGTGACAGATTTTGCAGTACCAGCTGTACTCTTGGAGCCCAATATTGTCCTTCATGTGAATACACAGAGAGTACAGTCACATATTTATTTGGAGGTTGTCCTACAGTTATGTCTAGAGTGCCCACTGACAGCAGCCACACACTGCCCTCCACACTTCTCCGAGTGGGTTAATAGCAATAAGGAGGTCTTAAAGTACCATTTTATATTGACTAAAACCTTTATTTTTCTTGCTTTCTGGTAGGTAACCTCCCCAATATCAATTACTAAAATGTTAACTTCTTAATCACCCAAATGAACACTGTGCTCAGATAAAACAAGTCAAATATGGCAGGTGAAACAACCTGCAACTGTCAGTGTTCTTCTGTAAAATTCAAGCAAAGCAGGTTTGTGGTTAGAACCATGACAAGAAAAGAAAACAAATACTTCTTTTTGTTTTCTCAGATGCCTTCTGATTTACAAAACTGCTATTGTTGCAGTCAGTAAATGTGGTCGAATGCCACAGGTCATTGAAACAACATGGAGAATATATTATATTCTGTCAAAAAATATTTTAGGAAGAATTATTTTATACATACAAGTAAAAAACACAAGATGGCATAAGCCTGACCATGCACGTATGTCAGTAATGTTTCACGTCTACTTGAATTTTTATGTATAATTTCTTATGGTAAGTAATAAGATACAACCAAACTGACACTTATTCAAGAAAATGAAAGACACATGGTCCCATAACTGGATATAAGAGAGAGAAAACCTCTCAGATGATATAAAATAAGCAAGCACGCAGTTCATTTTGAAGAAATTACTATACCTGCTACTCAGTAGTTTTGTGTGAGCCAGACTGAGTAGTATTAATTTTAAAAAACCTCTGGGATGAGGGCATGAAAACTTTATGCTATAAAAATCCTACAAGATCCTATTAAAATCCCAAAGGTCTGTTTTATCCACTTTTTTTTTTTCTTGAAAATATCAAGTCCTGTCACGGAGGCCATGGTCACTTGTGAGGGACTGTCCAAGCGTTCCTTAATGTTTCCAAGAGTCGAATACCACAAACGTTGTGCTAATGCCCACCATGTTCTGTAGAAAGCTACCTGTCTACAGCTGCGTTGACTGAAAACAGAACTCTGAAAGTGAAAGAAAAATGCAAAGTCTCACCTAAATTTTTAGACAAAAAATTTTTCCCCAGTACAAGTTTCCAAAGTGCCGGGGAGGCAGTCTTTCTGTGTATGTGCCTCCACCCTGCCAGGGCTGAGTGCCTAGACACGTTCCCTAAAAGGGAAGCGGTGGTATTCCCCAGTTCATCTTCCCTGAGACCACCTGATAGCCATGCTCTGAGCATGTTGACAGGAATGAATCAACATGATACACAGCAGCCTTGGGTGCTTCCATTTAAACACACAGCCAGCGAGGGAGGCGGTAATGATGTTTGTTCCTTATTTATTCTCCTCCTGTTGAGAGTAGTCTCCTGGGAGATGGAAAATTTGGGTGGTGTGTCCACCTACACCATCAGGGGTTTGGTGTCAACATTACCCTCATTCCAGAGGAGTGGCCAGATGACGAGGCTGTAGACCATGCTGCGATAAGGAAGCGGTGTGGCTGGACATGAGCAAGAATCATTAAGCTTCAGTTGTGAAACACGAATCCTTATCTAATGCAGCTTCCCACCTATTCAGAAGTAGCTTCCCAGTCCATAGTAGGGTCAGGATACTAGGCACATGCCTTTTTCAGCAATTTAGCAAGTTGTAGGTTGCTGGATGTTGTGGATTCCAGCTTGCATCATCCAAGTCCCTTCCATACCTAGGGCAGGGAGCTTAGGTAATTAGCTGAGGTGTTTTGATATTACCATACCCAAAACCTATGTGAAATAATGCGCTTCAGTGGTATGGTTCCTTTCATTTCTTTATCTTTGAGTAGCAGATTATGGGTGACTAGACAGGCGTAAAAAAAAAAGACAGAAGCAAAAAAAATGTTAATTTTTGTATTAGTCCCATCAGCTTTATCTTCTAGTTTTATCTGTGGATTACAGGATCCTGATTGAGAGCAACCTTATTTATCCATATAGACCATCAGATGTAAGGACATTGGCTAACAAAGAAATCGTCTGTCATTATTTAATTAAGGAAGAGTGCATGCATATACATGACTGTGTGGCTGGGAAACTTGTCCAGGAGGTATGGTAGGCTGTCATCATGTTCAATGAGCATTTTCTTGAACAGAAAGCAAGAAATGACTGAGAAAATTAATGGAAAACAAGAATGTGACTTTTTACTTTGCAGGAAGTTCTGTCATTTCAAAAAAATATATTCAAAGTAAAAATAAATAAAAAAAAAAAAAAAGGAATTTTCCACAGAACAGGCTTAATTACTTTGTAATCCAACATAAGTTGTTTAGACCTTTAATATCCAAGTGTTACTCACCTGTGATGCTAAAAATTAAAAAATGTTTGAGCTGAAATAATTTCAAAATAAACATTGGAAGTAATCATTCAGTAAAGTCTAAAATGGGGAGTGTTAATTATTATTTTACCTAAAATGAAATTCAGCAGAGAGAGTAATTTGTTGTGAAAGATGCTCCTTTAAATGAGTTACCTTTTCAATGATGGAAAGAAGTATTTTGGGGAAAAGTTCTGAAACTTTCTACTACTTGATAAATGGTAATACCTATTGGTAGGACTAGTATTCATTGCTGAGCTCTAAATTACCTTCAGCCACATCGGAAAAAACTGTAATGCCTCTCAGGAAAGCTGTGTGAAATATATGATCTATGCGCAAGTGTGGTCAAGAAAGTAAATAAAATGTAAAGACAGCTAAGGTTAAATGTAAGGTACTTGAACCAGGTTCTCAGAGAATCCGTAATTTCTGTGGAATTCAGCTGCAGCTACATGGATTCAGTACTACAAATCTCAGAATTTTTATTTTGAATGTAGCATCTGACTTTTAGAAGGTATATGAATAGGCAACTAATATCAGGAAACAACTGGAAGGTGAAGGACTTTCAATTTAAGATATATAGATGATGGTATGTGAAGTTGTGTTTTGTACAGCAACAGAAACTACTTTCACATAATTTTAGTTTTAGATTTGCAAAAGGCTTTCAGACAACGATTGGTCTCTTTTCTGAGTTACAGCTTTGGTTAGGTTTGGTTTTTTTTTTTTTTTGGTTCCCTTGGGGAATAGCCCACATAAGATTTTGCAAGCGCAGAAGCAATGTTTGAACGGTTACCAATGACGTAGAGAGCAATCGTCAAATTATGATTTAAAAGGTGTTGTGCTTAAAAAGCTTCTTGAGTGGCAGTGGTTTTCTCTCACGTGGCTGAACTATTTGCTGCAAAGCAAAAAGGCCTAAGTGAAAGCACTCCAAACTGGGTTTTCTAATTGCAAATCCAGAGAAACTATTCTCTAGAGTTAATTACAGAAGCTGTGCATTTGTAGTGTTTACAGCACTTTTTAAAGCAGTGCTTTCTCATGGCCAATATAGCTGGTTACACATTGGGAAAACCAAGATGTCCCGACTTGTACTTCCCCAGCTGTAACCAATGCAGCCACAGTATAATTAAAGCCCTAAATAAATGATGCACTTAATTAAAGACAAAAACAAGCCTATTGAAAACGGAGGGAAATAATGAGCTATTTCTTGTAGTACATGATCTTTGTATACAATAAAACATGTGCTAAAGTGTTTTGTGGTTGGCTGGCATTTTGTTTGCTCTTTACAAAAATGGGAAGACGACAAGCCTCGTGAGCAGGAACAAGGCTTGCACCCAACAGGCAGCCTGCAGATCAGAAAGGCGCGATCACTTACTGATGTAAGAAATAGGTGAAACAAAGCTCGACGGGCAGCATCGCTCAGCCTGTGTCACCCTCTCTTTTGGGCCGGCACAGCGGTTTGTGCAGCCAGTCAGTGAACCATTTTGAGGAACTGATCTGGCGGGGAGGGGAGGCTGTGGTTGTATTTCAGGTGGATCTCTTCTCCAGCGCTGCTGGCGAGGAGACCATGCAAACAGGGGTAGCCTTGCCGAGGGGACCAAGCAGCTGGAGGCAGAGGTTGTGCAACACATTGCCAGAAGTTTAACCACCAAAGCCTGTAATATTGTCAAAAGGCGAGGAGCAACTAAGGGGAAATACGACACACTTCTGGGAAAACATGTATAGCTATGCCTTATACTATTTATTAAAGGTACACCGACCAATTTGTAACCAATGATATAAGCAACAGGAAGGGATAAAAAAAAAAAAAATTTCAGCTCTTGAGACTCATAAGCAAATGTATTCATGCAGCCTCTGATCACTTCTCTTTCTGTGCACTAGTACCATCAATAAGACTAGCAAGAAAATGGTTGCAGCTCTGGAAGTGTGACAGCTAAATGATCACTGCAGACTAGCAACAGAAGCTCAGAAATTTAAGACTGTGGGCTCTTTGTTAAGGTAGCATGTCTCAGAAACAGTACTTTACAGGCACTGCTCTGTGGGAGATTAGACTGTATTATGTAAGTGAAAAAAGCAAGTCCTCTATATGGTTCTTTTTGTGCTGTCCCAGCGCAGGTGTGACAGCTTTTGGACCTTGAGTTATCATGCTGAATTCTCTGCTAGGTTTGCACAAAATCCATCTGAGCTCCAGTCAACAGGATCTGAAAGCAGAAAAGGAACAAAGGGTGAAACAACCGATCTGATTTTTTAATTTCTTCTGAAACGATAGTCCCATAATATAGTATAGACACTATGGAATACTAATAGCATCAAGTCAAGAGCTCCTTCTAAATTGTGGCCCTGACAAAATCATTAGTGCTTTCTGATGAGGTATGAATTCCAGTCTTGTGCTCAATGTACTTCACATAGAGCTTGTGCTGCAAATGGAACATGAAACTCAGTTCCGTCTGGTTTCCAGCAACACCATATGTACAACAGAATCCTAATTTGCATGGCTGTGGTTCAGATTATGTATTTCAGTGATAAATCCCTGTCTAAGGAGTGGATTGCTCAGCCTTTTTTTTTTTTTTTTTTTTTTTTAAAGGAAGTGAGGAAGGGGAGGAGCCCTTAAAAGTGACAATTTTGTTGGGGAGGGAAGAAGGAAAGGAATTTAATGGAAGACGATACTTTGTCATCTTATCCTGATTTGAAAAGAATGGGATAATTTCTTTCCAGCTCTTCCTTTTTGGGCACATTTTACCTGTCAGGGAAGGTATTCTATTGAGTTAAATGAAACAGAGGAAAAACTTGGAAAAATTACTGCAAGACAAATGTGTTTTTTTTTTAAAAATGCTGCATCAAAGCAAATATTTTAAAAATTATTTAAGCAATCAATAGATTTGATGATTATCTGAACACAAATACTACAGCATATGTCAGAAACACAGTGTACGAGTTGTAAAATTGTATGAGAAAAAGCATGACTATATATTGCAAGAGATGGATAGAAGAATTGATCTTGTACTCAGACACAGCAATGCAACAGAAAATGTCTTTTAAAAAAATCCCCAAACTACTACTGTTATCTTTCTTACATGTAGCCATCAGTCTGAGCAGAGATATTTTCTGCTCTTACCCCCAGAAAAGTAATTTGCAAGCCATTTCTGATCTCATTATATTATCTGCATAGTTTCTTGACTTTTGCACAATAAATTCGGTGGGAACATTCATTTTAAAAATCACCTTGTACATTGCAGCATAAAAGGCAAAACATTAAAACTGATACAATCTATGAGCAAGAAACCTTTGAAGAGCAAATATCGATCTAATGGCAACCTCTCCTGCACAGAAGCTACAGAGAAGTAAGGCAGCGTTTGCAGGTTGTCACGAGCTGCGCAGAAATTGGTGTTTTACTTAAAGCCCGAGATCTTGCAGCAATGTTATTACCTGATAATCTCAGCTCTGAAAAGATTCCTACTCTACTGTAGCGAGAGGGGGGCACTGAATTAGAGACTCGTAAACACTAAGGCTCCGTGTGACAGCCGAGCAGTTGCCACAATTCATTTCGTTGCGTTAGGGTCCCAACTCAAGACTTTTAGGTCCTCGAGGCTATCAGAACCGAGCTGCTCTCCTCAGCTTTTTCCTACGGACTGAGCTTCAGCAGCTGGAGACACCAAACCGAGATGCAGCCACCACCGACTGCGCGGGCGCCCGGAACGCGGGGCGGGCTCCCCTGCTGCCCTGCACCCGCTCCTGTTCAAACGCATTTTGGACGGCCCCAGTACCCCCGGGACTCGCCAAGACTGGCTTTCCCCTGCTCGGGGTGATGCCCGGAGCCGAGTCCTTTCCCTCCTTTCCCTTGACTCCACAGCGTGGAGCGACAAGAGAGGGACAATCGCCTTCCTAACACCGTTTATCTGCGGCGTCAAAACTCACGGTGGGTCGCCGAGACCCGAATCCCTCCCCATACTTTCATCAGCAGTGAAATAGTTAAGGACGTTCCCGTTAAATTTGAATGCTGAACACCATCACCTCGCAGCTCACCCAGCTAAGCCTAAGCAGGGAGGGGAAGATCTGCAAAAGTGCCGTTTGGTGCTGGGGCTTGCTGTCGATACGGGCAGCCTGCGCTGGAACCGGTCAGGAATTCCCCGCAAAACCCCGGGAGAGCGCCGGGTTCTCGGAGCCGGCGACTCTCGGGCTGGGCTGGGCTGGCTGCAGAGCAGGCCGCCCTCGCCCCCCCCCCACGCCACGGGAGAAGCCCGCAGCTCGGCCCACGCAGCCCCGGCGGCAGCGAGGGGCTCGCCGCTGCGCCGCGGCCGCAGTTCCCCCGGGGCGGCCGCTGCGGAGCCGGTGGGGGGGAAACCCGGCTCCCCCTCGGGGCGCAGCGCGGCGGGGCCGCCTCCCTGACGGGGGCGGAGGACGCGAGGTCCTTCCCGGCGGGGCGGCCCGGGGCACCCGTGGGCTCAGCTCCCCCGGTGGCCACGGCCGCGGGGGCACCGCCGCCAAGATGGAGGCGGCCGGTGTCAGTGCCGCGGGGAAGGAGCGGGGCGGCGGCGGGAGCTCCGCCCGGGGCAGGTGCGCGGGGCGGCGCTGCCCCCGGGGAGCCGCTGCCGGGCGGCGGGGCCGCGGGCCGGGCCGGGCCGGGCCGAGGGCGGGGCGCTGCGGGCAGGCTGGGCGGCGGCGGCGGCGGCGGCGGGGGCGGCCGCGCTGGGAGTGACAGCGGGGCCTGAGCGGTTCCGCGCTGCCCCGCGGCGGCCGCCCGCCCGCCCGCCTCGGCGGCCCGCCCGCCTGGCGGTGACTCGGGCTCCCCCTCCCGTCCCTCCCCCTCCTCCTCCTCCTCCTCCGCCGCCGCCGCCTCCTGCTCCGCTCGCCCAGCCCGGGCCCGGCCCAGCCGCTGCCGCACGGCGCCGTCGCCCGCCGAGCCCGGGGCGCAGCCGGCAACCGCGCGGGGGCCATGACGGTGGAGCAGAACGTGCTGCAGCCCGGCGGCGCCGCCAAGGTGAGACACCGGCCCGGCCCGGCCGCTGCGTCAGGGCCCGGCCTGCGAGCCGGCTACGCGCCCCCCTCGCCGCCTCCCTGCCCGCCGGCCTCGCCCGGGCCTGGCCCCCTCCCGCCGCCGCTCCTTTCCTGCGCCGCTCCGGCGGCTGCCCCCGCCCCTCCGGCAACTTTTCCCCCCTCCTGCAACGAGGGGCGCCGCCTCCCCCACCCCCCTCCCGGGGCCGTGGGGCAGCTTCCCCCCCGGGGGAGGAGGGGGCGGCCTTCCCCGCGTCCCGGCCTTTTCCCGGCTCCTGGCGCTTCAGCCATGGGCCGGGGCGACAGCGGAGCCGCCGGGGGGGCGCGGGCGGGGAGCGGGGAGCGGGGAGCCCTCCCCTCGGCGCCCCGCCGCTGCCCGGGCCGGCGGGCGGGCAGCCCCGGGCCGGGCCCGGCCCGTTGCACCGGCGGAGCAGGGGGCCGGGGAGGGAGACGCTGCCCAGGCACGGGCGGGCCCCTCTGCGCCCGCGGCCGCGGGAGGTGAGCGCGGTGCCCGGCGGCTGGCCCAGGGCGCGGCGCTGCCCCGCCGGAGCGGGGAGGTGCTGGGCTCCGGGGCTGGGGTTAGCGGGTGTCCGGGGAGGGGGGCGAAGCGAAGGGCAGCGGTTAGGAATCTCGCACTGCACACCGGCAGTTGCTGGACTGTGTTTCTTAGTCAAAAATAAAAATGGACATCTTCTAGAGGTGTCGCCTTTGCCTGAAGTGAGCTGAACTGGCAAGAGAAAGACCTAAAATTAAATCACGCTGCTGTTTATTTTTTATTTTTTAAAGGCAACTGTTGCTGATTAACGCAACTGTTCTGGTTAGTGATATGTCTGCCTCCCCCTCACCGACTATTTTTTTTTTTTTTTTTTTTTTTTTTTTTTAATGGCATGTGATGCTTTTATAAGAGGATAGAGATATACGTGCTTTGGTATAGTCAGTGCGGAAGTTAAATGGCTCCAGTCGTAAGAGTGGGCAGTGGGAATGTGGTGATTAAGGTATAATTGGTTGAAGTGGTACAACTTGCATTCAGGAAGCTCATTTGGAGGGAGAGGCATGTCTCACCAAAGCCAGCTATCATAGTTGGGAAGTAGTTAGCGCTGATTTTGGCCGCTTCAGCAGGAAGGCAAGGGCTGAATGGTCTAATTTTGTCTCTTCGTTCCTCAGTCGGTAGTGTTGTCAATGGGGGGTGTGCTAGCAGGCCAAGATAGCAGAGTTTTGCTGCCAGGTCCCGTGCTATGTGTGTGTCTTCTGTGTTTAACAACTTCGTTTGTTGCTGCTGTGCACCTGACAACTTTCGTGAGTGAGGTTATCTTTTAAAAACCCTGTTGTTGGTGGTTTACTTAAATATCCCTTAATTATCCTATCAGATACTCTCTTATGTAATACCTGGTAGACGCTGGTCAGAGCTGTGTATTTGTATTTTCTGTCAATTATCCTGAAGAAGAAGTGTTACGGTTTTCAGCTAAACTACTGCTTGCAGGTCAGTAGTTCAGGACTACTTTGGTTTCAAATCGAGGATAAGCTTAAAGAGAGGTTGGAGATTGATTGTGGTAGATCACCTTGTAATCCATACTGCTGTAAAATATGAAATTAGCAGTAATTCTGAAGTTGTCATCAGCATCTGTGGACAATGGTTCTTCGTCTAAGTATCTAGAGAAACTGTATAAAATAACAAGATTTTTCATGACAGGTACTTGCTTTTTTATTTCCACTGAATCATCTGGTTATTATATTATCTGAAACTCCTTGCTACCTATTTTATCCCAAATTACATGCTAGGGGAGAGGCCAATCTTGAGAATATATTGCAAAAAAGTATTGTTTGACTCCAAAGTGAGTATCTCATTGCTTAGTGAGACAAACAAATAGCTAATTGGATGACAAACTTTAACACTGTTTGGCTTATTTGCATGTCAGAAGAACAATTATGAAGGTACAGTGGGCTGATGCATGGTTGAAAGGCGGAGAGGTTACCATGCCACTAACTCATAGTCTTCCCTCAAAAGAAGAAAGTTCTGTGCTCCACAAATAACGAGAGTTTGTTCTGGAGACCTCAGAGTCTGTCATGATTGTTTTCTGTTAGTGTGAAGAAACCACATACAAGCAGAAATATATTGGATTTCCAAGAGATGCCTGAGTCATCAGCATACCTTATTCAGAACTGTGGTTCCCAACATTGTTCATCAGATGTTTTCTTACTGTCATACAGGAAGTATGTGTCAAACTTCAGCAGTACTTGGAGATGTAAGTTTGTATTAATAAATGCTTTAACTACAAACAGCCCATTTCCCACTGAAGCTATCTTTAGTTTATTGTGAAGTTTAAGCATCTGGATAGAGTCAAAAGAAATTTTTTCTTTCATGTTTACTGGTCATCTTGACTCCTAGTTAAAACTTGTAATTTATCTCCCGAAGCAAATAATTAAGCACATTAGTCTCGTTCCTTGTAGCTCTTGTGTGCTTCTCTAATGTCGTTAGGTGTCTGGAGGTTATATGTAGTGTTCGTATGAATTCTAAAGCATGTGAGTAAAGGTAAATGTCCTGGGAAGTTAAAAAAAGAAGTAGCTTCCCTTTTTGTCCTGCCTCTATTTCTGTCCAGTAAAATCCTTTTTGCCAGGCATTTTGCTGCTGAAGAGCTAAGACGTGTACTGCTGCAGGATTACCCGTGCTCCGGGCAGTCCTGCGCCGCTGCCACAGAGGCAGCTTCTGCTGATGCGCGTGTACATTGGTTTTCCTCCCGGAGGAAGACCGTCCCAGGCCTCCCCTCACGGGGCACAGACTCTTCCCTTGGCCAGCGTCCCTTGGGCAGCGGGGCCAGCAGCAGAGGCTGGGGTGAACGGTCATTTTCCTAGTAATCGGAAGAAGTGCTGTGGAGAGGTCATACGTGTTTCAGCAGTCACAGCTCTAACTAATAATTACCGTGGTGGCCATCTCGGAACAGCAGATTGAAGAAGCTGGGTTTGAAAGGGTGACACTTAGGTGGCCTCTCAGCAATGTGTATTATCAAGTTCTGCTTCTGGAGAGAGGCGGAGTGTTGGTTGATACATGGATTTAAAGTCTGTTTTATCTGTCCTTTGGTTTCCCACACCCACTGTTATTTCAGACCTGTGATTCAGCAGCATATTGGCAGTGTAATCACAGGAATAGTGGAATAAAGTTAGGTGTGTCAGCTCAGCTTGTTTTTTTTTTTAAAAGAAGCACAAACCATTAAGGATGTTTACCACTTGAAATAATGCATGGCTTAAAGCAAGGCCTAATGCTACTTACTTCCTCTCCCTTGCTCTTTTCTAGGTAGTAAGGAGGAAATTATGCTAGTTTGTGTGTGCTTCTGCTCTATTCATCCCCGTGTATTTGATATAATTATTATTGAAATATTTAGTTAGTAATATGGTACTGAATGCTCTTCTTTCCTGAAAGCAATAGCTACTAACTTCTTAATACTGTGGTAGTTGTTCATAAGGAAGATGATACAGTTGTATGTCTCCAGCAGCTGAAATAGGGATGTTGATGCAGTCTGGAATGGCAGGAGTTGATCACAGAGAATACCTACTGACTTGGTACGCAAGGAAGGTATTTTGGGAGTTGTGCTCTTTTTTTTTTTTTTTTTTTTTTTTTTTTTTTTCCATCTCGATAGGTGGCAACCTTCCAAGGATACAGCCTTTAAAATCTTTGTGTTTTGTACCGTTGAGTTTCCTGACTGACCGTTTATTTGCCTGGTAGATCTGAGAGGCTGCAGGCTCCTGCTGTCATCATGTGGCCAGAGCTGCTCTTGCCTGTGACCAACATGCAGGTGTCCTCCCAAATCTGAGACCTGCACCCTGGGTCATGTAATGGGGGTGGGTTACAGATCTCCCCATGAACAGGCTGCCTGTATTTGCACTGTGGGGCAGGCCCGCTCCTTGCATGGTGGGCTTGAATATGGAGGGACGTTATACCTCCTACTGCTGGTATTGAAAGATCCATTATCAATTTTGGCCAGGGTTAGCAGAACAACCAGACTGGTCTACTGGAAGCATTTGCACTGACTACTAAGTAATTTGCAAAAATTATTTGAAGTGCTGTGGAGTTATGCTTTTAGAGAGACACATCTTGTTATATATTAAAAAAGTTTGTATTACTTGTAGTTACACCTTCTACATAGATTTCTATTTGTATTTTCTGAAAGCTAGAGCAAGGTGCAAAGGTCAGTGATTCAAAGTAATTTTGTAAGC